TTTCCAACGTGTGGTCTCTGCGATGTTTGAAACGCATTAATGTGTGAATATGCTCGTGCCATAAATACGACGAAGGCTTGTAAACCTCTGCTTCGACAAAACGACATGCAAGCATGAAGCTATCATCTCGCAAATTCAACGAAATCTCATACTATGGCTTTGTTTCCCCACTATGACGTTCACCGCAGTGGCTCTTTTCGTCATGGACAAGGGATATCATAATTTCTGGTAAAATAACTTTCCGCCTCATTCCGGGGAGGTGTATTGCTAAGTGACGAGTCGCATACAGGTTTGAATGCGTGCTGCTTTGTCTTTGTAACAGACGGCGCGTTCAAAGCTGTCAAAATCCTGCTATTTTTTTTGCTATTTGCCCCTAACAAAGGGACAGTGCGTTTATTACAGTCCAAAAATCACGGTAGCAGTACTGGTGGTTGTACATTTTGCTGATAAACTTTGGCCAGTGCGTTCCCAAAAGGTTATGGCAGGTACCTATTTGTGCAAATGTTTTGGCACAGTGTTCCTTTGGTTCTTGGTGTCATGCATAATACATGTGAACAGCTTGGTGTTTGCAAAGCGGATATTTGTTGTTGTTTTTGTGCTTTCTAGCACTAGTGACAGAAGAAAGCAGTCGTTGCTGTCAAAAATATGGTCTTCTGAGTACTGATCATTACTTGGGACTGGAAGCGGAACCAAATGGCATGGAGGCCAGTTTGAACCACTCGCCCACACTGTCACCTCCCACCACCTAGATGGGTTAGTATTATACGCACTACACAACCCACTCTCTTTTCCATTGCCAAGACAAGCCTGCCATCTCCCAGTTAACAGAATTGACTATTTACTTCATTTGTCATTTTTCAGTGCTTGCTTGTTACTGCATTATTCTCCATTTTAGTCGCAAATTTAAAGTTGCAAGTAGAAGTTGTCATGCTTCAGACGTCTATGTCAGTGATTTGAATATTTGGAATGTTTTAAATCTTTGTTACGAATGTTTTAATTATGGATTTTATATTGCAAATAAAACTGCCCTTAGGCTTGACACGGTTTCTTTCATTAATTTGAACATGGTTTATTAGTCCTGGTTTCATCTCCAAACCGCGTTGTTGCAATCACCAGGCTGCAAGTAAAAATTGCCATGCTTCAAAGGTCTATTTCAGTTTTTTGAACATTTGGATTGCTTTAATAATTTGAACACAGGTGTTTGAGTTATGGATTCTATATTGCAATTAGATCTGTTCTTAGACTCTAACTTTTTCAATAATCTGAACATGGTTCATCAGTCCTGGTTTCATCTCCAAATCGCCTGGGATATTATTTGGTCAACCATAACGCAAATTATCTTCCTGTACATTAATGCACATAACATGTATGTAACTTTTAAGTAGTATCCAGTAAAGCTACAGTTTTGGTGTTCCCTGTAGCATTTTCCCCCGCTTTCAGCCACAAGCATTGGTGCGAACAACACATAGTGGCAAAACTGTGTAAAAATGAGTCACCAACATTGCCTTGGGTCGCTGATGCATTTTCACTTAAGATCCATGGCTACTAAATGAATGCTTGTAGTAATGAGCTCCATTGCTTCACTGTTCACTACCAGCGGTGACCTGTATGAGCAACCCCCTAAAAGATCATTGACTGGAGTGAAACTTTATTTGGCATGTGGTTTTCATCTGTTTCAGAATATCTGCACCAATTTTTTTCTAACAAGTGCCCCGGTGTCTTAAAGCCTAGAGATGAACCCCAAATTCTGACATCGAGCTCAACGATTCTTTTGAGCTCGTTACCATCCATTCATGGTTTCTCAAGTGGATGTAACAACAGCCCGAGCGCCAACCAGTTCGTCGCTACATTCCGGCACTCGCACGGGACGCAGCAGGAACATCACAAGGCTGGGTCCCATCCATCCTGGCTGTGGGTCCCAAGCCCAGTCAGCTTGGCGCCAAGGGCACGCGTAACACCGACAGCACCGAGGTGCTCGATATACTGGACGGTCGTGACCACTAGCCGGGGCTGTCCTTCGTGGTCACCAGAGCAGTTTGCTATGTCACCGTGTTCGTCGTCCTAAGGGCACTGGACGGAGAAGGCTGTGTCACCTGCCAGGAAGCACTGGTGAGCCGCCTGGAGCCCGACGATTCCACACCTTTATGCCACCGTCTGTGACTGAAAAATCGCGGTGGACTGGTGAATCGCTCCGCAGGAGCAGTCAAGAGGTGGTTCTGAGTGCTGGGAAGGAGCTCCACCGTTACATTGTGCAGCTGGACGCGGCTTACCATGCCGTACCTGAAGCGGATGCTGAAGGGCGCGGTGGTGTGCTGCATCGGCACCGATGACGTTGGAGATCCGGGCCACCACCTCCTGGGAACTCAGTGTGGTTTACCAAACCACTGCACCGAGCTGATCAGGATTCTGGTGGTAACCTACCGACGGCTGGGTCTTCATCACCAAACGAAGCTGCACAATGCACGCCTGCAATGG